AGGTTAAGGCAAGAGAATCGCTTGAATTCGGGAAGCAGAGATTGCAGTGAGCCAAGATAGTGCCACTGCACTCCAGCCTGGGTGACAGAGCAAGACTCTGTCTCAAAAAGAAAAAAAAAAAAAAAGTTAAAACTGCAACCAAGATGCCCTGCAGGAAGTGAATGGAAAAACAAACTATGAAGCATCCTTACCATGAAGTATTATTCAGTGAGCTACATCAAGGCATGAAAAGCCATGGAGGAACCTTAAATGCATATTCCAAAGTGAAAGAAGCCAGTCTGAAAGGGGTACATACCACGTGATTCCAACCATAGGACATTCTGGAAAAGGTAAAACTATGGCAGTGGTAGAAAGATCAGTGGTTGGCCGGGTGCGGTGGCTCACGCCTGTAATCTCAACACTTCGGGAGGCCTAGGCAGGTGGATCTCTTGAGCCCGGAGTTCAAGATCACCCTGGGCAACATAGTAGGACCCCATCTCTATGTTGTTTTTGTTTTTGTTTTGAGACAGTCTCATTCTGTCACCCAGGCATGATCTCTGCCCACTGCAACCTCTACCTCCCAGGTTCAAGTGACTCTCTTGCCTCAGCCTCCTGAATAGCTGGGATTACAGGTACCTGACAGCATGGCCGGCTAATATTTTCTGCATTTAGTTGAGACACAGATTCTCCATGCTGGCCAGGCTGGTCTTGAACTCTTGACCTCAGGTGACTTGCCTGCCTCACCCTCCCAAAGTGCTGGGTTTACAGGTGTGAGCCATTGAGCTCAGCCAAGTCTACTGATTTAAAAAAGAAAAAGAGCCGGGCACGGTGGCTCAAGCTTGTAATCCCAGCACTTTGGGAGGCCGAGGCAGGTGGATCACGAGGTCAAGAGATCGAGACCATCCTGGTCAACATGGTAAAACCCCGTCTCTACTAAAAATACAAAAAAATTAGCTGGGCATGGTGGCACGTGCCTGTAATCCCAGCTACTCAGGAGGCTGAGGCAGGAGAATTGCCTGATCCCAGGAGGCGGAGGTTGCGGTGAGCTGAGATCGCGCCATTGCACTCCAGCCTGGGTAACAAGAGTGAAACTACGTCTCAAAAAAAAAAAAAAAAGAAAAAAAGAAAAAAGAAAAAGAAATGTTTGAACAGCCAACACAGACACAGAGGAAAAATCTGTTCTGGGGGTTCCAGCCCCAACCAGGTAGAGTTGTGCCTGCTTGGTTCTCACCTGGGGACAGATGGTCCCCACCTGGCTCGCCTCTGTGTAGTATATACGATCTGATTGGCCCCTGGAGGCATGGGAGTTTTGAGATTTATGATCCAGAATAACGGTTCTCAACTGGGAGAGACTGTGCCTCCAGGGACTCTGGCAATATCTGGGGCATTTTTGGTTGTCATTATTGGATGGTGGGGGCAGCGGGGAGGTGCTACTGGCCTCTAGAGGGTGGAGGATGCTATAAAACCTCCTGAAATGCACAGGGCAAGGCTGGAATACCCCAATGCAGAGAACCAGTTCTCATCCAGGGAAATTTTAAAAAATACTGATGCTTGGTGCCAACCCCAGTGATTGTGAATTTCTTATTATTTAGACGAAGTCTGCCTCCATTGACCAGGCTGGAGTGCAGTGGCATGATCTTGGCTCACTGCAACCTCGGCCTCCCAGGTTCAAGCCATTCTCGTGCTTCAGCCTCCTGAGTAGCTGGGATTGTGTAGGCTTGCACCACTACGCCTGGCTAATGTTTGTATTTTTAGTAGCGACAGGGTTTCACTGTGTTGGCCAGGCTGGAACTCCTGGCCTCAATTGATCTGCCTGCTTTGGCCTCCCAAAGTGCTGGGATTAAGGGTTGAGCCACCTCATCCAGCCCCACGATTCTGATTTATTTAATATTTTATTTTTTTGAGACTGAGTCTCGCTCTGTCACCCAGGCTGGAGTGCAATGGCATGATTTTGGCTCACTGCAACCTCTGCCTCCTGAGTACATGGGTCTACAGGTGATCGGCTACCATCATTCTCGGCTAATTTTTGTATTTTTAGTGGAGACAGGGTTTCATTATTTTGGTCAGGCTGGTCTCGAACTCCTGACCTCAGGTGATTTGCCCACCTTGGCCTCCCAAAGTGCTGGGATTACAAGTGTGAGCCACCGTACCAGACCAATGATTCTGATTTAAATGAAAGAGAGGTGATATCAGGACAAAAATATTTTATTTTATTTATGTATTTATTTATTTTTTGAGACGGAGTCTCACTCGGTCATCCAAGCTGGAGTACAGTGGTGAGATCTCGGCTCACTGCAACCTCTGTCTCCCAGGTTCAAGAGATTCTCATGTGTCTACCTCCCAAGTAGCTGGGATTACAGGCATGTGCCACCACACCTGGCTAATTTTTGCATTTTTAGTAGAGACAGGGTTTTGTCATGCTACGCAGGCTGGTTTTGAACTCCTGGACTCAAGCAATCTGCCCGCCTTGCCTCCCAAAGTGCTGGGATTACAGGCATGAGCTACTGCTTCTGGCCTCCAACACCTTACTTTTTCTAAGGAAACCAAGTACCTCACATTAATTGTACTGATTCTTGGAGTCAAGCAGACCTGGGCGGAGTCCCAAGGCTGCAACTGACCAGCCATGAGACCACAGGCTCACTGTGTATTTAAGATAGCTTAGTCACTATTTCCTATTTCCCCAGTTGTGAAAGGACGAGAGTGAACTGGGTGGGGTATCCTCAGCCTTGATAACATAACATCAGTCACCGAGGGAGTGGAGATTAATAATTCTGATTCAATTGGTCTGAGGTGGAGATAAGAAAAAAGCTCCCAGGATTTGGAACGGCTTCTCAGCTTCAGGAACCTTCAGGCTCCAGCACTTCGAGTTTGGATGGTTTATTCTAGGACTTCTGCAGAAATATCTTGCAAGTCCCCAGGCAGCTGGGAGACCTCTTTTCTCGAAACATTTGTGTCCCACATCCCCACAAGGATCCAACCCTCCTCAGTTTTGGATTTTCTTTTTCGTATTTTTTTTTACTGAGACGGAGTCTCACTCTGTCACCCAGGCTGGAGTGCAGTGGTGCGATCTCAGCTCACTGCAACCTCCACCTCCTGGGTTCAAGTGATTCTCCTGCCTCAGCCTCCTGAATAGCTGGGACTACAGGTGTCTGCCACCACACCCAGCTAATTTTTGTATTTCTAATAGAAACAGGGTTTCACCATGTTGGCCAGGCTGGTCTTGAACTCCTGACCTCAGGTGATCTGCCTGCCTCGGCCTCCCAAAGTGCTGGGATTACAGGTGTGAGCCACCATACCTGACTAGTTTCAGATTTTCTAAGGTATGCAGGTTTCTGCAGTTGCCCAAGGACTGGGCCTGAGCCACTAGGAATTCTTCCCCAGAAAGGAAAGATAGCCCCATGTTCATGCTAGGAAAATACAAAAGCCTATTTTGTTTTGCAAATTAACTGTTCTCCTGGATAGCATTTAAAGAAATAGATTCTGGCATGTGAACAGGCAAAAATAGAATAAAAATTCCTAGCAAGTAGAGTGTAATCCTGTTAGTGTAAGAGCATGCATTGGCTGGGCGAGGTGGCTCATGCCTGTAATGCCAGCACTTGGGAGGCAGGTGGATCACGAGGTCAGGAGATCAAGACAATCTTGGCCAACATGGTGAAACCCCATCTCCACTAAAAATACAAAAGTTAGCCAGGCATGTTTGCATGTGCCTGTAGTCCCAGCTACTTAGGAGGCTGAGGCAGAAGAACCACTTGAACACAGGGAGGCAGAGGTTGCAGTGAGCCAAGATCACACCACTGCACTCCAGCCTGGGTGACAGAGCAGGATTCTGCCTCAAAAAAAAAAAAAAGAAAGAAAGAAAAAAAAGAAAAAAGCAAACAAACAAAAAAGCGTGCATTTACGTCTATAACTACATAGGTATAAATGAACAGAAGAGAGATCAGGAAAGGTGGCCACCATTATGTTGACAGTAATTCTTTTTTCTCTTTGCCCTTTTCAGTTTGAGTTTTTAGTAAACAGGAGCACTTGTTTTCATCATCTGAGAATAAAGCTACTTCCTTTCTGAGCTATAGGGGTAATTTACATCTAAGTGGGAGGAAGGTTTATGAAGTTTGGGGTTCTGCTGTTTTTCTAAGTCTAAAATCTATTTTCTAGTAAGTTGCTGGTGTGCTAGAATGATGATGAACGAGAAACATTTGCTCATGGTGAATCTTGTATATAAAAATAGAACACGTTCTAAGGAAGCCATTCATCCTCATTTAAAAAATGACTTTTTAAACAAATCTAAGAAGCAGGATCTACCCTCCAGTGACCTCCCCAATGGGGGATCTGGAGCTGAGGGGCAGGACGCTGACCCCAAGTCACCCAGCCCTGGGACCGGTTCTGCTCCAAGGGTGGAAAGGATCTGGAGCCAGGGCTGGAAGAATTCCCGTGGGGACTCGAATGGCCCAGTGCCGTGGGGAAGGGAGGGGAGAGGAGGGTGCTGGACAGTTGCAGCGGGGAGGGGAACCGGTGTCACTTTCCGCAGCCCCCGGCGCGGCGGCCCTTATATAGACACCCCGCTGGCGCTCCCACTCCGCGTGCCAAGGTCAAGGAGGGAGGTCACACCTGCGTGCGGCCAGGGCAGCTAGCTGCATCGACTCCCCCACCTGCACCCTCGAAACGGCCAGCGCCCCTTGCCCAAGTTCCAGCAGCTCTGACCCAGCAAGGAGTCCCGGCCTTCTCTCCACCCCTCCCCAAAGCACCTGTTCCCCCTCCTCTAAACCGGCGCACGCCTCTCCTTCCCCTCCCCCAGCTTCAGCGTCCTGGGGGCTTCTACCCTGGGCTCACCCCCGCCCAGGTTCATCGCGGGAGAACCCCACGATTCTCGCGCCTGCCCACTCCCACGATGCAATCCCTGAACCTGTTCCCCTCACCCCGCTCCCTCCACCACGCACGGGTTTCTCCTCTCCGCGCCCCTCCCCGAGCTGCCCCCGCCCGCGCCCCGCGCTGCCCGCCCCTTCCAGCCCCCGACCCCGGCTCACCTGGCTCATACTTGAGGTAGAGGATGGAGACGATGAAGTAACTGAGGTCGAAGACCGGGAAGAGCGGCACCCGCGAGAAGCTGAGCGCCAGCTCGCCCAGGCTCAGCGCCGAGAGCAGCTCCATGGCGCCCACCCGCCGGTGCCACCCGGGGCCCCGGCCTCGTCCCTCCCGCCGCCCGCGGCCCAGTGACTGCACCCCCGCAGCTGGGCCCGCCCCCGCCCTCCAGGCGCCACCCCAGGCCCGGCCCCCGCGGGAGAGGAGGGGCGACGGCCCACCCAGGGACAGGTGGTGGGGACGCCCAGCCCCACGGATGGAGCCGGACGGTCGGGCGTCCCAGACGCTGACCCTCGTGCCATCGCGACCCCGCTCCACCCAGGGAGGAGGGGTGCGGGGCCCCGGTGCAAGGCGAGAGGGCCTGAGGGGCTACCCATTCTGGAGGCCCGTCCCTCATGCGGGTCACCGGTTCCCAGGGGGCCGAATCAGCCAGAACTGGTCTCCATCGGCTCAAGTCGGAGGACCCCGATCTTCGGTGGAACACAACGAGGACCCCCTAAGCCCTGGTGGGACCCCATGAATCTCACAACCCCTGTTCCCCGTGGAAATCGGATCGGTTAGGACCTCCGTCCTCTGTGGGGTCCTGCCCCACAGGGTCCGTTAGATCAGGAACCCCGTCCTCGGTGGGGCTCCGGAAGTCAGGATCCCCGAATCTTGTGGGGAGCAGCTCAGTGGGGATCCCCGCCCCCCATGGGGCCCTAAAGGATCTCATTTTAGAACCCAGTTGGTTGGGACGCCCGTTTCGAGGATCCCACTGCGTTAGTACCCCGCATTCAGTGCAGCTCTGGAATCGAAAGGATTCCTTCTCTCAGAAGCCCAATTTGGGACCCCAGCAAGTGAGAGGGAATTGCTGCCCAGCTAACCCTACGGCGCACGAGACCTCACGCAGGCGCGGCACGCTTCGAACGCGTGACCCAATCCCGCCCCAGAAGACCCCGCCCCTGAGTGACGTCAGGCGATGGCCCCGCCCCTTCTGCTCCGGCTCTCGGGACATCCCCAACGAGGTGGGGCGCTCGCGCTCCCCTAAAGGGGCCTGGCCTGCAGTGGGCGGGACCCTCCCTACCTTGACCTTCGATTGGCCCAGCCCTCGCCAACGTTGCTTTAGGATTGGTCGGGTTGTGCTCCTCTCCACCCACCCCCCGGGGCTTCCGCTTCCGGTTCTGACGACCGCTTCGGCCGTAAGGATGATCGGAGACATCCTGCTGTTCGGGTAATTAGGGGGACCAGAGGCTGGGAAGAGAGAGCCAGACGGGACGGGGGGCGCCCCTAGTAACCATAAGTCTCCTTCTGCAGGACGTTGCTGATGAATGCCGGGGCGGTGCTGAACTTTAAGCTGTGAGTAGGCCGCGCCTGCCTGCGGCTCCATCCGGGGGACCCGTAGCCCCGCCCTCATAAGCGTGATCTCGCGGCACGTCGCAGGCCCCGCCCGACTCCCCTCTGTCCACGCCTCCAGCCTGGTTTACCCGCTTCTGAGCCTCCTCGCCATCGAGCGACATTAAATCCATACTCTCCGTTTCCTGGGTGTCCCCCTGCTCGCCTTCCTGGAGAGCTTAAGACCCATCCCCCAAGAAGCACCCCCACCCCGTATTCTCAACCCTGGACCCGCACTGTCGGGCCACTTTGTAAACTGTCAGTGGCCGCTGACCTGGCTGTGGTTGTCCGGGCAGTGGTGTCCCAGAGAGGGAAATTGAACCGTCCGAGATCACACAGCAAGTCAGCGGCAGGGCCAGGGCTGAAGCTTAGTGTTTGTGGCCCTCTGAGGTGGGGGTCAGGGGACCGAGGAGTCTATGTCCCATTGAAAGTGGTCACTGTCTGCTCCTCTTTGTAGGAAAAAGAAGGACACGCAGGGATTTGGAGAGGAGTCAAGGGAGCCCAGCACAGGTAAGGTCTTCTTTCTGGACCCTGGAATTGCATGGTCCACTTCAGAGAGGACAGTTCTGTTTCATCAAGTCCTACCCTCGTTTGCTTTATTTTTTCTTTTCCTTCCTTCCTTTCTTCCTTCCTTCCATCTGTCTTTGTCTCTGTCTTTCTTTCCTTTCACAAGGTCTCATTCTGTTGTCCAGGCTGGAGTGCAGTGGTGCCGTCATGGCTCGCTGCAGCCTCGGCATCCTGGGCTAAAGAAATGCTTCCACCTCAGCCCCCTTAGTAGCTGGAATTACAGGCACGTGCCACCATGCCAGGCTACATTTTGAATTTTCTTGTAGGGGTTTCTCCACGTTGTCCAGGCTGGTCTCGAGCTCCTGGGTTCAAGTGATCCCCTGCCTTGGCCTCCCGAAGTGCTGGGATTATAGACATGAGCCACGAGTTTTCTCCTTAATTGAGCAGTGCATGTGAGTGGGAGATGAGCTAAGGATGTGCTATCCTTTCTGCCTACCTCTGTCATCTCCTTCTTTCACCCACCAGGCTTCCCAGATGTGGGCACTCAAATCACTTCCTACCTTTATAATTTTCTGTTAGGTGTGCTGTCATCTGGCTGTCTGCCCCTCACATTTGACTGTAAACTTAAGAGAAGAGGCCTTAGCTTGGCTGGGCTTATCCCATTCTTTGTCCTTGCCATACCAGTCTTCTGATGCCTGTAAATGAATGAATGAGTATGAATGAATGAATGAATGAACAATCACACTTAGCTGTCGATTTCAGAGTGCTGCCGCCCTGCTACTTTTAAAATTAGATGCCAACATTACATTTTTAATCAGGAGATTTTATATAAAAATTCGGATGTCTGATTTTTCTTGAAAAATCGGAACATTCTGCAACTCAAGATTCAGGAGAGCTCTTGACATCTATTTAAGCGTAGTTGAAAAGAAGGGCTCTGACTTATCCCAGCCCTAACCCCTTCATGTCTGTCATCTGCCTGGGCCCTGGAGGCCCAGAATTTACACTTCCTGCTGAATTAATTATGTAGCTGTTTGGATTGTAAGGCGACCTGTACATGACTGTTATATCCATTCATTCGTTCTTTCATTCACCAGATATTTGAGCACCTACGCATGCTGGCTACTGTGCTAGGTGCTGGGATACAGCAGGGGTAAGACACATAGAGTGGAACTTACCATGGAATGGGACTCATGATTTCTAAGGGAGGAATAAATGGTGACAGAGGTGATGTTAGGTGACAGGGAAAGGGAGTCACAGCATGGTGATGGAGTTGCCCTTCTGTTGGGGTGTGGGAGGGAAGGCCTTTGAGGAGGTAGCATCGTAGTCAAGGTGGCAGATGCCATGATGGAGCACTGCCCAAGGATGGGAGAACCCTGAGGAACAGAGGTTTTCTTTTAGAGACAGAGTATTGTTCTGTTGCCCAGGGTGGAGTGTCGTGGCACATTCATAGCCCACGCATGAACTCCTGGGCTTAAGTTCACCCTGGAACTCCTCTTGTCTCAGCCTCCCAAGTAGCTGGAACTACTTGCACTCACTACCACTTCTGGCTAATTTTCTAAAAAAAATTTTTGAGACAGAATCTTGCTCTGTCACCAGGCGCCAGGCTGGAATAGAGTGGCGTGATCCTGACTCACTGCAACCTCCACCTCCCGGGTTCAAGCAATTCTTCTGCCTCAGCCTCCCAAGTAGCTGGGACTACGGGTGGACACCACCACGCCCAGCTAATTTTTGTATTTTAGTAGAGACGGGGTTTCCCTATGTTGGTCGGGATGGTCTTGATCTCTTGACCTCATGATCCACCCACCTCGGCCTCCCAAAATTTTGGGATTACAGGCATGAGCCACCATGCCCGGCTTTCTAAAAAAAATTTTTTTTTGAGATAGGCATCTCACTGTGTTAACCAAGCTGGCATCCATCTCTTGGCCTCAAATGATCCTTCCACCTCGGCCTCCCAAAGTGCTGGGATTACAGGCATGAACTACCATGCCTGGCTGAGCTGAGATTTTGAAGACACTCCAGCAGCTCCCCTTTTTGGGGGTCTGCCCCTGGGTGGTGACCCAGTTAGGTGCTTCCTGTTAGTGTTTCATTCTACCTCCATCCCTAAAAGATCATGATCACTTTCCCATTTTACAGATGAGGAAGCTGAGGGTCAGAGATGGGGCTAACTTTTTTTTTTTTTTTTTTTTTCCGAGACAGAGTTTCACTCTTATCACCCTGGCTGGAGTGCAGTGGCCCAATCTCAGCTCACTGCAACCTCTGCCTCCCGGATTCAAGTGATTCTCCTGCCTCCCGAGTAACTGGGATTGCAGGCATGCACCACCACGCCTGGCTAATTTTTATATTTTTAGTAGAGACAGGGTTTCACTATGTTGGCCAGGCTGGTCTCGAACTCCTGACCTCATGATCTGCCCGCCTTAGCCTCCCAAAGTGCTGGGATTACAGGCGTGAGCCACTGCACGTGACCAGTTTTTGTATTTTCAATAGACACAGGGTTTCACCATGTTACCAATGCTGGTTTTGAACTTCAACTCCTGGCCTTGTAATCTGCCTGCCTCAGCCTCCCAAAATGCTGGCATTACAGGCATGAGCCTCGGCGCCCAGTCTATGTAGCTCAGCTTCTTTGTGGCCACATAGCAAATCAATGAGAGAATCAGGATTCAAACCAGGGTTATTTATTGTTTTTTTTTTTGAGACGGAGTTTCGCTCTTGTTACCCAGGCTGGAGTGCAATGGCGTGATCTCGGCTCACCGCAACCTCCGCCTCCTGGGCTCAAGCAATTCTTCTGCCTCAGCCTCCTGAGTAGCTGGGATTACAGGCACGCGCCACCACGCCCAGCTAGTTTTTTGTATTTTTAGTAGAGACGGGGTTTCACCATGTTACCATGTTGACCAGCATGGTCTCGATCTCTCGACCTCGTGATCCACCCGCCTTGGCCTCCCAAAGTGCTGGGATTACAGGCTTGAGCCACCGTGCCCGGCCAGAGTTATTTTTGACTCTAGCAGTTGTACACTCAATCGCTAGATCATTTCTCCATCTATCCATTTATCCATCCATACATACATTTATTGACTCAGCAGCCGTGTGTTACCCACCACATGGAAGGCACTATACCATGTCCTGGGGTTGCGCCGTACAGATCCGAATCAGAGCAGCTGTGGGCGGGAGATTCGGCACAAAGTGGTGGGAGCATCAGTGACAGGGATGGCAGGAAGGGCACCGGGGCTCTATCAGGAGCTTCCTGCTTTGCTCTCTGCTCTCCTTCCAGCCCAGATGCCACACCTGCCGCTTCCTCTGTGGGGGCTGCTCCTCACCCTCCATCCTCTTTGCCTGGGTTAAGTCAATTACCATAGTGGCTGTGTTTGTTGAGAGCTTCGTGTGTGCCAGGCACTGTGCTAAGGTCTTCCTAGCTGCCTGTCCCCATGGTGAC